GGCTGTATTCACAAGCCAGTCCTTCGAGCAGGCATCCGCGCAGGTGACTAAAAGCCAGCCTGGACGCGTCGCACAGCCCTCGAACCGGACTTGTGAACTGCTGGGCGGGATAGTCTGGGTGGATTAATCCAACCCTGATACCGCTCACAGCATCTTTGTAAGTCAGCTGCTTCTCTGAAGCAGCTTTGGTTTCCGTCGGCACGATCTCAGCCGTCTTGGGCTTCTTAGCCACTTGCTCGGGCGTCGACCCATCAGAGCGCGCCCTCTTGGCCAAAGGCTTAGAGGTCTCTGCGCTCTTTTCCGATGGAGTATTGATCTTTTCAATCACCTGCTTGAGGGCGGTCTCATAAGGCACCCCGCTCCCCATAAGCTTGCGCAGGTTCCTTCTAGCGGACCGTGGCAGCCGCAGGCGTTTTTGTTTAAGGGTGAGACTGTCTAGTGCCTTAACAGCCTCCTCCTCATCTTCCTCCCCTTCAGAGTGCAGAAGAACCTGCTCCTCTTCCAGAGAGGGAGAACTTGACTTGGGTGCGGACGGTCCGGCTACCACAAGTGTAGATTGTGATGGAGGACTATCCTCCATCTTTTTGGTTTCCTTTTCAGGATCGAGGTTTATCCCCCCCTCGTCTAGGGTTTTACTAATACTGGGCGTCTCCATACTAATCCCACGAGTAGGGCAGAAAGGGTAGTCCATCGAGGCAGTGCTCCCATACCCCGATAAGCCTATAGAAACGGAAGGGCGGCAGGTCTCCAGAGTTCGCTTATTAGCAGCCATCACTTCCCGGATGACTAGACCGTCAGATGACAGCCTAAAGTGCTCTGCATAAGCTGTTCCACATTCACTTTGGGGTTTTTAATGAGGTTGTCTCCTCTTGACCCAGGCAATTAAGCCAAGATCCCCCGCATGCCCTGCCCGTGGAACAGGTCCACAAACAATAGGCATGCATGGTATAACGGTTTCGACTATATCAGTCGTCCCCGGCCACGTTTTCTCCCGTGCAAGCCCTAAGCCACGCGACGACAGCCGGGCGGGAGGCCTGCTTATCGACTGGCAAGTCTAGATCCGACACTTTTGGTAATAATAATACTTTTTGTTTATTTTTAGTAGTTACCCTAACATTGGTCTGACCTGCAACTTTTAATTTATTACCACAAACCGACAAAAGTTGTTTTAGACAACTCTGTAATCTACAATTTGGTAATATCATATCAAATTTGTCTTTAGATAGTATGCTAACACTAGCACCAGAATCGACCTCCATCGTTACTAATTTTTTGTTAATACTTATCTTACTAAATAACTTATCATGAACTGTATTAATATTTATTTGTTGAATCGCTAATTCACACTCATCACTGCTCTGTTCACTTGTGCCATCGGACTCCACTTCTGACTCCACTCCATGTATTCTTTTTTTCTTCCTGCAGTACGTCGCTATGTGACCTTTACCTTGACAGGCATAACATTTCCAATTAATTGCCGGACAATCCTCATGATCATGGTTACTTCTCCCACATCTATAACATTTCTTCTTGTTTTCCCTTGCGCTTGACCTTACAGACTGATCCTTTTTATTAATCTCGACTTGACATTTCTTTCCTATATCATTTCCCTGACTACTTGACGACTTTCTTGATACATATGACTCTTTTTGACTTCTGTTATATTTAGAGGGTTTTTTGAAAAATGGAAAACAACATGACTTATTGATAAACGTCAAAGTCTGATTTACGTTGTTTGATGCTTGTGAGTCTTAAGCCGACGTTACACGTCGCAATTGACTGCTATGGCGGCAACTACGGAGGAGCGTGGTTTGACTGTTCTCGTCAAAATTTGCGTGTAACATGTCTATTACCATAGTAATGACTGCGAGCAAAGCTACTGCGAAGGCTAGAAAATTTTCTACTTTCGGTATATCACGGAAATTTGACGATTAAGGCCCGTTTGCACCGCAATAGTTAAGCGTCGCTTTACGCTAAGCTTTCCTTAAATTTTGAAATCGGTTTGCACCGTTGTTTAAGCTACGCTTATTCTCAGCTTAATTTAAGCGTTCAATGTTCGGAGTTTACCGGTTAAGCGTAGCTTTAAATTACGTGAAAAAATTTATTTGTCATTGTGTGACGTGAAAATTGTGAAAACATGGATATTTTTGACGACGATGAAGATATGTTTGGAAATGATGCAGAAATATTAGAGATTGTTGATTATGGATTTCCTAAACGGATCACTCTACGGCGCAATCATTTTGAAGATTTGGATAACCTTACATTTTTTCAACGATTTCGTTTAACAACGAATACTGTTTTAAACATTTTACCACTAATTGAAGAAAAGCTTGAATATCCTACAGACATGTACGTAATATATTATGTAAATAATAAATATGTAATTAATTATTAATAATAATATAATATAATATAAGTATTAGTATGCATGAAGAAGAACCCCCGGAACCTGATATAAATGCAGATGAATTTGAAAATCTAATTCAAGTAGGAAATATACCAGAAGTAATTAATGGCGATAATATTCAAGGAAATGTCAGAAGAAATGAGATGATAAATTACTTTAACCGTCTATTATAAAATATCAACATTATTATATAACATTTATAAAAGATTAAATTAATTTAGATATTAAATATTTTCTAATTGTTTTTTTTTAATTTCTAAATCTAATTTTAATGCTTCCATACGAAGTTTATGCTCTTCTTTAAGGCATTCCATATACTCCAACTTTTTGCAAACTAACTCTTCGTATTTTTCAGCCAATCTTCAATTCGTCAGCAATAACTTTCCAAATACTTAATTTTTGTTCCGCAGACACACAGTCTGTTTTTCTGTTTTCGACAATGTTTTTGTAACTGGAAACTATTGATAATAGTACTTCCTTTTCGCGGCAACTATAATTAAGAGAACGCATTCTCTTTTTCTTTTCCACGTCCATTCTTATTCGGAGTTGTAAAAAGTACAAATTTCGCACACTAACTTTGAAATGTCAAAACCAATTACTAAAAAAAGATTATCGGTAATACAGTTTCCCATTTTCACCGATTTAGTGCGTTGTTGCCGAGTTTATTTTTACTTTACTAAACTTTCTTAAATATATTGCGGTGCAACGGATTACATTTAAAGCTTGGCTTAAAAATTAAGGGACGCTTAGTTAAGCAAAGCTTAACTCAAAAACGGTGCAAACGGGCATAAATACGCCAATTTGACGCTAGCAGTCAAACTACGCCCAACCACACCCCTCCGTAGTTACCGCCATACCAGTCGATTGCGTCGTGTAACGTCGGCTTAATAAAACCAGTTAAAATGGATATTAATAACGTAAATAATGTTTATACAAATAAAGAAATCCATAATGTATTTTTTGTGCACGAAAAGTACGACAAAGTTCTTAGTAGAACTTGCAGAATGTTTAATGAAAATTATCCACATTTACCTTCGATAACAAAAGGTAAATTTAGAAGAATAGAAGCAAATTTTTTGCATTTTGAACGAATTAATCACGTGTTAAATTGACAAAAAAATGTTGTAGATAATGCAACGGAAGAGGTGAATACCTTGGCTTATTTCGAACCCAGTCCCAACACCTCAATTCGAGCTGCCAAAGAAGATCTGGGAATCATACTACGAACTTTGTCGCGCTTTTCATGCATAAAGAATAAATTAAGAATTTCTTGATTTGTCTAAATATTACTTCCGTTATTATTATCGATTTTAACTCTTTTCAGTAGTAATATTAAGGGACCTAACAGATAATTATTAGCTCACATGCATCAAGTGACGTAAACAAGTGAGTCTCTGACAAGAACTCATTGAGAAGGCTTGTTTTCCATGGCACACTAGGCTAAATATCCATATATGTGTGCATTTTTCAAAAAACCCTAATTATCTCCCAAACTATTAATGTTAGGTATGGACATATGGGATATAAAAAATGTAGAATGAGACACCGAAGACGACTAAGTAATAAAATATGGGGGGTGCTATTTAAAAAAATGAAGTTATGATACTTTCAAATTTTGAAAAGTTAACGTGCCATAGTAAAGTGACCAAACGTTCTAGACAGCCGTTCTCGGCACCAAAACATACTCCATCATGTTGCTTAAGCATGTTCTGAATCCTAAATTGATATCCCAAAAATCGAGTGTTCTCTGATTTTTTGAACAAATGTCTGCTGGAGCAGATTTTTCTAGAAAAATTCCAATATCTCGAGAACGGCCGAATCAAATTGCAAAAAGTAAAGTTATTTATAAACCTTGAAAACAGACAAATATAAAAATGTAAAAATGTACAAGTGTTCCATTTAAAAAAATAAAATAGGAGGCGACTTCCGGTATAACCGAAAGTGCTAGAAATCTGAAAATATTTTAGGCGACGAGATCGTAATTGATAATACTTAAGTCTGAATTCTCAAATTTTTATTTTTGTCAGAACTCCAGAAACGTCTAATGACCGGTCTCGCTGAGACACCCTGTATATTTGACATTTAAATTTGACTTTGCAAATAATAAGAAATAATTCAAATAATAAACATAACTAACTAGATAACTACGTTATCTTTAGTAAATTTACATATTTTTTCATCTGATGTCAATTTATATCCTTTCGATAGTGCAGTTCCCAAACAAAATAGATTTACCTTCAAATTTGATACATACAAAACATTTTTCAACTCTACCATTTCCCAATCCTTTCCATTGAATGCCTTTAATCGAATTTTTCCTAATGCTGTAGCATCTAAGATATTTCCATCTCCAATTTTTATTTTCTTTGCAGATTCCAATGTTTCCATTTCAACAAATTGTTCTATCTGACAACACATGTAATCGCTTCTTGCACCACTGTCCAATATCCAATCTGTCTTATTTATTCTCATATTTATCTACTATTTATCTGTCTCACTCAGTAAAGCTGTACTTATGAATGCATTGACTTTATTGTTGTTATTAGGTTTCTTATTTTGTTTGTTGTTTTTTTGATCTTTAAACCAGCAATTTTTTGCAATGTGACCTTGTTTTTTACAAATATGACATGTTCTATCCTCTTTTTTCTTTGTTTCTTCTTCTTTGTTTAATGTGTCCAAATTTTCCGCATGAAAGCATTTTATTATTTTCTTCTCATCTTTTCTTCCTGACAAAAAACCAGTTTCTATTTTTTCATTTGTTTTTATTCTTTGCTCCTCAATCAACAACCGTGATGTTAATTCACATATTGATTGATTGTTCGATGGAGCTAACTCCAGTAATTCGGTTTTTTCCTTTTGCAGACTTTGTCTGCTTACTTACGTGACTTCCTGTATATTTCTTCCCTTTCTTTCGTGCGTTCATCTTTCCATATATTCCATGTACGCTTCGTGCCTTTGTGCTATACTGGCTCTATATCCCTCATTAAACCACGGCTTTCTCCTGGATTTCTTTGGCTGAGGTAACCGTTGCTGTTTTATTTGGATTCCACTTTCCTCTATAGTGTTGTTTCTGTTCATAGTTGATTCCACCGGCTTATCCATTTCTTTTGTCCATTCTTCCCGTATTTCTGAGTTACCTAGGTTACTTAAATTAAGTTTTTCTTGTTTTGCATTGTTGTTTCTTGCGCGGCTACTCATTCTGTAACCGAACCTCGCCAGTAGTAGTAGATCACCTAATCCGCGGCATGCCCCTCTTCTGATTTTCACATCCATAATACTCGTCGCTGTTCTGCTATCAATTAACAGATGATCTATTTGGATGTTTGTGGTTCTGTCTGGTGATGTCCAGAGAGTTTTGTGAGGGAACATTATCGATTTTCGTGTTCATACCTCCAATCACCATCTTAACGTCGTTTCTAGGTGCCGAGTCATACACTAATTTCAGTTGTTGATGGAGTGTACGTTAATTATTGTTACGTTGAAGAATTGTGATTTAACACGCAAAGTACATATTTTTTCATTTACAGGGTGGAAGTCCAGAATACACGCTTTGAACTTGTCCGCAATAAATGCCACACCGAATTCTCTCGCCGCTGCGTTCTTACCACTGTATAGTATGATATGCTTTTTGGTATATCTGATACTTTCTCCTACCCATTTCGTTCCCTATATTGCCGTCACTGCCATGTTATATCTTTCCTTTTATAAAGCTAATTGCTATAAATTGTTATTTTATAAAGTTAAAGTGTAATCAAATTTCCTTTAACATTTCAGGGTAGTTTACAAACAGGAATTGTTCGTACAAATTGCGTCGATTGTTTAGATAGAACAAATACCGCTCAATTTGCAATTGGGAAATGTGTTTTGGGTTACCAATTATGTGCATTAGGAGTTCTCGACAATGCGAAATTAGAGTTTGACACTGATTGTGTTCGAATGCTTGAGAGTCTTTATGAGGATCACGGCGATACTTTAGCCTTACAATACGGAGGTTCACAATTGGTCCATCGTGTTAAAACTTATCGAAAAACATCACCTTGGACATCTCAAGGAAACGATATCATGCAAACTTTAAGTCGATATTATAGTAACACCTTTTCAGACGCCGAAAAACAAAACACAATTAATTTATTTTTGGGTGTTTTTATCCCCGATGAAACTAAACCACAAATTTGGGATTATTCTTCCGATCATTACTTTCATCATAAAATCAATTTAAATATTGATAAATCTTTAACACAATGGTATGGAAATGATGTGTTAGAGAGTCTACCTTACGCTTATAACGACTTGGTCAAACCATGTTCAGAAATCGTTCAAATTCACGCTGAATACGCTGAAATGATTGATGCTTACGCCGATTTTCATCGGCCGTATGAATTGACAGTTCTAAACGAGACATTTTCTTATAAAATTTCAAACACAATAAGAGATTTTATGCCAAATAACACGACAAATTCATCTCCATTTACCGTACGAATTAGGCCAGGTCGTCGAAGGGAGGAAAGTTCGAATAAAAATTCAATGAAAAATCCGTCTTTAACTGGACAAAGTTCAACAAGTTCAACTACTTCTAGCAATAGTACCTCCAGTTCCGGGAGTGATACAAATTCTTCGGATGAAGAAAGTGTTAGTGTGAATACAAATGAATCGCAAATGACGATATCAAGGAATAGTGAGAATAATAATCAAATTACGTTTCAATCGTTGTTTCCATCTATGGAGCAGACTTATGGGTATGAATTGAAAGAACCAAGTTCGAGGGATGTTTTATTGTATAAAAAGTGAGTATTCAGTAATATATAATGCTGCCCTGTTAATTCAAAAGGGCGTATCTGCTGAAAAGTTTGTTTCGAGATAAATCGAGTTTTTAACTTCTTATGCCGTCCATGTTTTATGTAAAAATAAATAGAAATATAAACACTGTGAATGTCTTATGACTGTCTATTGACAAGTACTGAGAAGGTTTAGTAGATACGCCCTTTATATTTAACAGACAAAAATGGATCAACTTAAAAAAAGACTATAATAGGTTAATACACTTAAAACAAACCAAAACCATATTTTTTTCCTCTTGGTTCCTTAATTGTCACTGGTTTAGATATGCCTATTTTATAACACCCAGCTGTCACAAAATTTAAAACAATTCCGGGCATGCCAAAACTGGTTTATTCGAGATTTCACGGATAAATTTAGCTTCTACCATGTCTTGTAGGTATGGCCGCGGATTCACTTTGTTTAGTTTGTACAGAGAGGTCTCGTCTCTCCATTCAAAAAAGTCTTCAACATTGAGAGTAATAATTTCAGTGTTAGAAGAAGCGGTTTTCACTGCATTGACAAAATCAATAAAGTCATAAACCTTACCCATTCGTGTTAAAGATACTTCAACTCTATGATGACATGAATCCGCAGCCATGAAGGTGTGTCTCGGTTCAAAATATTTTAAGGTTACAGTGTTAAGATTTACTTCACTGGAGTTCACAATATAAACGAAAAATAAATACAAGCACCAGTTTATGTTCTGGCCAGAACAATTGTCCATCCAGATAACAACAGTTTCCGAATGTCTATTTTTTTTTTAAATCCACAAAAGGTGCTTGCTATATCGGCTTTTTTCGATAAGATAGATCTTTTTTTTATTAAGAAATAAAGAGATATAACCAAGACCCGTAAAGTAGCTGCTTAAATAATATAGTATTTGTAGTAAGTATAAGAAAAATATTTATACCCATACCTTTTGAAGATCAGCTGTGTTTTTTTTGGCTACATTAGTTTAATCTGATGTATACTTTTTCCTTGCCTGAATGTATTTTGTTTGATGAACCATAAATAAATTATTAAATAAAATAATTTTCGATTTCTCGCAGGTAAAGCATTCCTCATTGCCGAGCTTCGCAAACGAAATGTTCATTTCACTAACTATTTGTCGATATAAGAGTAAGCACACTCAACATTGTACTTTTCTTTAAAACAGTTATACATTAGTTGTATTGTTATATCACTAGGCAAATATAGGTGGTTAGGGGCATGACTGCGTCTATTATGGGAAATAAGAGGAATGATTTTATGTGACTTATTAGTACGTTTATCACCTTTAGGTGTAAGGGCCGTCTTTGTCAGCTTCAAAATTGCTCTCAATGTTTTGCATACGTCTTTTCGGTTTCCTTCTGAATCTTTGTATTGGTACGTCTGGAATTACCTTCACCAAGAGTTTTTCTTTTCTTAGCAACGTTGTTAGTTGTGCTTAGCAAAAACATTCTTTGTTCATGTTGAGATATTTCCCAAAACTGTTTATTGATATCTTGACGACGAACGAGAGAAATTTTGTCATTACATTTTCTTAAAGTATTGCACGTTCTCGTTATTTGATGTTCGCTAACTATTCTGCTTTTTTTATTTTCTTTTCTTTCTTTCAAACTTTTTTCGTACTTCTTAGGCTAAACACATACTGACGCGACGAGCAAAGCGGCGAGCAGAGCGGTGAGGAAAGCGGCGAAAACAAACTATACATATCCAAATGAGTAGAACATAGTGGTGCGGCGCGGCGCCAAGTAGCAGTGTGGTCATAAGAGAGGATAGCGGCGCGTTCAAGCAAGTTTGTTTTCTCCGCTCTCCTCTTTGATACAAAATGGATGTTGAAGCTTTAATACATGAAAAGTTACATGAAAACGTTACATGAAAAGTTACTAAAATAAAATAAAATGGTTGAGAAATTGCAAGAGGTAACCACTTTTTATGAGTTCGCGAAAACCAGAAATAAAATGTATAAATGCGCATGTGTTGAAAATAAAATAAAATTACATAGAGGGTGTTCAGATGAAACAAATCCCTTCTGCGAGTATAATTGTCTGCGAGGCAACAACTCTAAAATCTGTTTTTTAAAAATGTATGTAATGTATATAATCTGTATTTTGTAGTTAATATTTCCAGGCGTTGAATAGTAAGGTAAGGGAAGGGGATAATAAAATTTGGATTTTTAAATTAATAGAAAAATATAGGATAGGGAATACAAGGATAGGGTGTAGACAGGAGTTGGGTGTTGCCGCAGGGACCCCAAAATCTGCGAACAGTGTGTGCCGCTAAGTACACTGATCCTCGGTATTTTGGGGAAATGGGTAATTGAGGCATTTGTATAAGGGTGGCTTTAAGGGGAGGACCTGGTCATTAAGGCACTCAAGTCTTGTATTAGTTTTTATGAATTTGTCTATTTCATAGCTCTCTAAAAGCTCAAGTTTGTGGCCTTTATTTTGTTTATGTATCAGTGTTACATTTTCTTTAATATCAAAAGTGTGGTTGTGCAGAGATAGGTGTTTACCAAAATTAGAGTTGGGTTTTATTAAATGTTCTCTAATTCTTGTTTTTAGGGCTCTCCCTGTTTCGCCAATATATGTGGCTCCGCAAATATTACATTCTAAACTGTAAACACCGTTAAGTTCCAACAAGTCTAGCTTATCTTTTGCATTATGCAAAAGTTTTTGTAAGGTGTGATTGTTTTTGTAAGATATGCTGATTCCATATTTATTGAAAATGTTTCTGATATTGTGAGCTATTTTGCCGGGATAAGTAATTGATCTGTATGTATCAAAGTTTTGAGTTATAGGTTGAAGACCTGTAGAGTTGTTAAGGTTTTGTTTAAAAATGAATTTATTAATTATTTTGTCAATTTGGGATAATTGAGTTTAGTTGTTTATGTTTTTCAATTTCTATAGTAAATTTATGATTTTTATGGAGGTTATTAATGTATTTATGGAAATCATCTATCAAATTGAATCCGTCATCATCCCAAATTATCAAAATATCATCAACATATCTGAGCCACAGGACTATATTATTATTGTTAATGTTATCTTTGTGTAAAATTTTGTTTTCTATATTATTAAGGAATATGTCGGAGAGTAGACCGCTCAAGGGGGATCCCATTGGAAGACCCTCATTGTATTGGTAAAATTTATCATTGAGTAATGGCGTAGTTGTTCATACAAATGATGAAATTCGCCATGTATATGTCTACTTTTATTTATTTCATGTACATTACAACTTCTCTTCCTTTTATATTTTAATAAATACCAAATTTTCACGGAAGAATTTTCTAATAGTAATAAATCTATACCTCCTTATTAGACGCGCCACTATGTGAATGCAACTCTTTTATTACCGCGATTCTCGGTCGCCGCTGTCTTCACCGCTCTCCTCGCCGCTTTGCTTGTCGCTCCAGTATGTGTTTAGCCTTCGTTTTCTTAGAACTCCTTGTTTGATGTACTTTTTTTGTTAGATATCTCCATTGCATTGATTAAAATATTTTCATCATCATCTTTTGTGGTAAGCAAATTGTTACTATTATTGTCCTCAATATCTAAGTTTTTTAAGGAAAAGTTAGCTGTTTTTGAACAGCTTGGTAATGACGGATTTTTTAATACTATATTACTTATGATATTAATTTTTTTACTAAGTGATGCCGGTTGTTTATCGTCAGTAGTTTCTGCTTCGCTGCTCGAATCAGGGGACGATGGCTCAAAATTTTTGTCTCTGTCTTCGGACACATTGGATTCTGCATGTGAATCACTATTATTTTCAATGATATGTGTTATAGTTTCATTCAAGCGACTTTCTTTAAGAGCAAGGTTTACTAGGATTTTTCCTCGCGATCCAGAGTAAAGTTTTCCTTAAACAAATTGCAGCTCAACAACAAAACCACACAAAAAAGGATATTTTTTGCTCGCATTAAACTAATATTTCTGCATAAATACCTATTACTATTAATATTTCTTACCTGTATTAAATTTCCTGTCTATATTTCAAACTATAACTGTGGTTAAGTGAGGGAGGGATGTGAATGATGCAACAGGTCTTAGGGTATCGTCGGGTATTTTGTGAGCTAGCTACTCACTACTGACGTAAAGTGGTAAATTTTCATTATAATGTACCAATGTTGATTCTGAGGATAAAGTTTTCTTCAGTGATTTGAATATTTCTGAATCATGATTTGTCCAATTGAATGACGTATTCTTCTTAAGGTGTCGATGAAGGGTTCACAAATAATCTGTAGATTTTGGATAAATTTGGCATAATATGCGATTAATTCCAGAAAATAACGCAATTCTGTGATATTTCGAGGTCGTGGCATTTGCTGTATTGCATGGATGTATTCTTTAGTTGGGTGTAACCCAAGGACAGTAGAATCTAAAAGGACTGCTACATTCATTGTTGTGACAACGTGCCCGCACACTACGTCACACCATTTGCCACGCCCAGTCAGCTGTTATTGTGTTCTATGCGTTTGCTGTGTATTTTTAGAGGTTATATCGTATATCGTAGACGTATTCATATAACTTCAAAAGTAAATCTTGTATTGACAAAAATTTTATTACAAAAATATAAAAAGGAAACTCAATTTATTTTTAAAATATACTAAATTTAATTTAACGTTTATCTTACTTTGGGTTAACTGATAATATCTGATAATATGAAAAAAAATGAAGAAAATGGTTCCAACTTATTAACATATAAGTAAAATAAAATATTAACTAATAACTTTCTTCATTTTTTTTTTATTATATCTCTCGACATCTTCCTCCCGGTTTCTTTTTAAGATTTGAAGATTTTTATAATTGATTCTTATTATTGTACGTAATTTTATAAAGGCTATTATTAACTCTATTGGAATGTCCATTCTTCTTCTTTTTATAATCAATGAAAGCCTTTTTACCACCCTGGGAATTCGTTTCATATTATCAGGAGCCGTATTATGAAAACGCTCAAAAAATATATTTAGTTGTTGTACATT